AAAAAAAAAAAAAAAAAAAAAAATCAATGAAAATATATCCTTAGGTGAGGATTTAAAAAAAAGCAATGACTATAAATAGCTAACATTTACAAAGCCTTTTACATATAGCATCTCATTTAACCCTCACAAAATTCCTGCAAGAGAAATGGAAAGTGAATCATGAGAAGTTAAGTAAATTGTCCCAAAGTCACAGAACTAATAAGCGGTGGAGGCAGAGTAAGAACCCTGGCAGCCTGGGTCTACACCTGTGTTCTTAACCACCACCCAGTCCTTCCTGCCAGAGCTTGCTCGGCTGGAAGTCACATGTGGTGACACACAGAGAGTAATAATACTAATTAATTCCAGCTACCATTTGTTGAATGCTCATTAATACATGAAGCCCAGGGGCAAATTCTCACAACAAGTCCAAGAAGTACTTATCTTCATTGCCATTTTAGTAGAGGAAAGCGTTTCAAAGAAGTAAATTAACTTGTCCAAGGTCACAGAGCTATAATAGCTTATACAGACCTGGTGCTTATTGCACTCTTCTAAGCACTAACTTATCTAATCCCCATAACAACACTATGAGGTAGGCTCCATTATTACCCGTCATTCTTAATTAAGAAACTTGTCCAAGGCTTCACTCTGATAACTGGCAAACCCAGGACTCGGTCTGGCTTCAAGTCCTCATCAAAACAAAATTCTGACTGTCAACTCATGAGTGTGAGAACCTTCTATCTTCTTACCAACATGCTAAGCATGGCCCTCAAACCTGCGGTAGGGCGGAGGGGTGCTAGGGAAGAAGGGAGTAACAAGAGCTCTGGGGACCCTCCAGAAAGGAGCATTTAAGCTGCATCCTGAAGGTGAAAGTAAGCACTTATTGGACAAAGAGAGGCACCATGCAATTTATTATTTTAAAGGAAATGAGATGTATCCAATTGAGGCCTTGGAAAAAGACAATGTAGTTTCAGATTGAATTATAAAATCTTTACTGTGTATTAACTTTTCAATTAAAATTTTTCTTGATGAAGGAAAACATGGTTTTTAATCGCTTAAATTTGGCTATACATTAAAAAAAAATCAAGAAATAGAAATGGGCAATTTTCGTAACGTTAAACTCAACCCTGACTTCCAATATTTGCTTCCTCAGTCTCAATGCTGCAAGCAGGGTGATTACCAAACCCTTGGGATCTCTGCAAGATTTTCTCTCCTTCAAATCTGAAACACAGCATTTAGAAACCACGATGAGCCTGGAGATTCGGATCAAGAACTAGAAGGAACCTGTGCGCGTGCTGTTCCCGCGGGGCGAGAGGCCGGCGGGCAAGCTGTGGCTCCAATGCTGCAGAGCCAGGGCTTTCCTAGCAAACTGATTTATGACCACACGACGGGCAGCTGCAGAACCGGTCAGACCATGAGTACAATTCTCAAACACGAATCCAAGAAGAAGGTCCGGGATGGGGGGGATGGTAAGGCGGGGTTAGTT